TATAAAAAATCCACATTTGACTGTTGGTCCTTGAAAAATATTCTTTAAAAAATGTACGTTTAGCTGTTGGTCCTTGAAAAAATATTCTTTAAAAAATCCAAGTTTGACTGTAGGTCCCTGAAAAAATATTCTTTAAAAAATCCTCGTTTGACAGTTGGTCCTTGAAAAAATATTGTTTAAAAAATCCACGTTTGACTGTTGGTCGTTGAAAAAATATTCTTTAAAAAATCCACGTCTGTTGGTCCTTGAAAAAATATTCTTTAAAAAATCCACGTTTGACTGTTGGTCGTTGAAAAAATATTCTTTAAAAAATCCACGTCTGTTGGTCCTTGAAAAAATATTCTTTAAAAAATCCACGTTTGACTGTTGGTCCTTGAAAAAATATTCTTTAAAAAATCCACGTTTGACTGTTGGTCGTTGAAAAAATATTCTTTAAAAAATCCACGTTTGACTGTTGGTCGTTGAAAAAATATTCTTTAAAAAATCCACGTTTGACTGTTGGTCCTTGAAAAAAACATTCTTTAAAAAATCCACGTTTGACTGTTGGTCCTTGAAAAAAATTTTCTTTAAAAAATCCACGTTTGACTGTTTGTCCTTGAAAAAATATTCTTTAAAAAATCCACGTTTGGCTGTTGGTCCTTTAAAAATATTCTTTAAAAATCCACGTTTGACTGTTGGTCCTTGAAAAAATATTCTTTACAAAATCCACGTTTGACTGTTGGTCCTTGAAAAAATATTCTTTAAAAACTCCACGTTTGACTGTTGGTCCTTGAAAAAATATTCTATAAAAAATCCACGTTTGACTGTTGGTCCTTGAAAAAATATTCTTTAAAAAATCCACGTTTGACTGTTGGTCCTTAAAAAAATATTCTTTAAAAAATCCACGTTTGACTGTTGGTCCTTGAAAAAATATTCTTTAAAAAATCCACGTTTGACTGTTGGTCCTTGAAAAAATATTCTTTAAAAAATCCACGTTTGGCTGTTGGTCCTTTAAAAATATTCTTTAAAAATCCACGTTTGACTGTTGGTCCTTGAAAAAATATTCTTTAAAAACTCCACGTTTGACTGTTGGTCCTTGAAAAAATATTCTATAAAAAATCCACGTTTGACTGTTGGTCCTTGAAAAAATATTCTTTAAAAAATCCACGTTTGGCTGTTGGTCCTTGAAAAAATATTCTATAAAAAATCCACGTTTGACTGTTGGTCCTTGAAAAAATATTCTATAAAAAATCCACGTTTGACTGTTGGTCCTTGAAAAAATATTCTTTAAAAACTCCACGTTTGACTGTTGGTCCTTGAAAAAATATTCTTTAAAAAATCCACGTTTGACTGTTGGTCCTTGAAAAAATATTCTTTAAAAATCCACGTTTGACTGTTGGTCCTTGAAAAAATATTCTTTAAAAAATCCACGTTTGACTGTTGGTCCTTGAAAAAATATTCTTTAAAAAATCCACGTTTGACTGTTTGTCCTTGAAAAAATATTCTTTAAAAAATCCACGTTTGGCTGTTGGTCCTTTAAAAATATTCTTTAAAAATCCACGTTTGACTGTTGGTCCTTGAAAAAATATTCTTTAAAAACTCCACGTTTGACTGTTGGTCCTTGAAAAAATATTCTATAAAAAATCCACGTTTGACTGTTGGTCCTTGAAAAAATATTCTATAAAAAATCCACGTTTGACTGTTGGTCCTTGAAAAAATATTCTTTAAAAACTCCACGTTTGACTGTTGGTCCTTGAAAAAATATTCTATAAAAAATCCACGTTTGACTGTTGGTCCTTGAAAAAATATTCTTTAAAAAATCCACGTTTGGCTGTTGGTCCTTTAAAAATATTCTTTAAAAATCCACGTTTGACTGTTGGTCCTTGAAAAAATATTCTTTAAAAACTCCACGTTTGACTGTTGGTCCTTGAAAAAATATTCTATAAAAAATCCACGTTTGACTGTTGGTCCTTGAAAAAATATTCTTTAAAAAATCCACGTTTGGCTGTTGGTCCTTTAAAAATATTCTTTAAAAATCCACGTTTGACTGTTGGTCCTTGAAAAAATATTCTTTACAAAATCCACGTTTGACTGTTGGTCCTTGAAAAAATATTCTTTAAAAACTCCACGTTTGACTGTTGGTCCTTGAAAAAATATTCTATAAAAAATCCACGTTTGACTGTTGGTCCTTGAAAAAATATTCTTTAAAAAATCCACGTTTGACTGTTGGTCCTTGAAAAAATATTCTTTAAAAAATCCACGTTTGACTGTTGGTCCTTGAAAAAATATTCTTTAAAAAATCCACGTTTGACTGTTGGTCCTTGAAAAAATATTCTTTAAAAAATCCACGTTTGACTGTTGGTCCTTGAAAAAATATTCTTTAAAAATCCACGTTTGACTGTTGGTCCTTGACAAAATATTCTTTAAAAAATCTACGTTTGACTGTTGGTCCTTGAAAAAATATTCTTTAAAAAATCCACGTTTGACTGTTGGTCCTTGACAAAATATTCTTTAAAAAATCCACGTTTGACTGTTGGTCCTTGAAAAAATATTCTTTAAAAAATCCACGTTTGACTGTTGGTCCTTGGAAAAATATTCTTTAAAAAATCCACGTTTGACTGTTGGTTCTTGAAAAAATATTCTTTAAAAAATCCACGTTTGACTGTTGGTCCTTGGAAAAATATTCTTTAAAAAATCCACGTTTGACTGCTGGTCCTTGGAAAAATATTCTTTAAAAAATCCACGTTTGACTGTTGGTTCTTGAAAAAATATTCTTTAAAAAATCCACGTTTGACTGTTGGTCTTTGAAAAAATATTCTTTAAAAAATCCACGTTTGACTGTTGGTTCTTGAAAAAATATTCTTTAAAAAATCCACGTTTGACTGTTGGTCCTTGAAAAATATTCTTTAAAAAATCCACGTTTGACTGTTGGTCCTTGGAAAAATATTCTTTAAAAAATCCACGTTTGACTGCTGGTCCTTGGAAAAATATTCTTTAAAAAATCCACGTTTGACTGTTAGTTCTTGAAAAAATATTCTTTAAAAATCCACGTTTGACTGTTGGTCCTTGAAAAAATATTCTTTAAAAAATCCACGTTTGACTGTTGGTCCTTGGAAAAATATTCTTTAAAAAATCCACGTTTGACTGTTGGTCCTTGGAAAAATATTCTTTAAAAAATCCACGTTTGACTGTTGGTCCTCGAGCAAATATTCTTTAAAAAATCTACGTTTGACTGTTGGTCCTTGAAAAAGATTCTTTAAAAAATCTACGTTTGACTGTTGGTCCTTGACAAAATATTCTTTAAAAAATCCACGTTTGACTGTTGGTCCTTGACAAAATATTCTTTAAAAAATCTACGTTTGACTGTTGGTCCTTGGAAAAATATTCTTTAAAAAATCCACGTTTGACTGTTGGTCCTTGACAAAATATTCTTTAAAAAATCCACGTTTGACTGTTGGTCCTTGAAAAAATATTCTTTAAAAAAATCCACGTTTGACTGTTGGTCCTTGAAAAAATATTCTTTAAAAAATCCACGTTTGACTGTTGGTCCTTGGAAAAATATTCTTTAAAAAATCCACGTTTGACTGTTGGTCCTTGGAAAAATATTCTTTAAAAAATCCACGTTTGACTGTTGGTCCTTGAAAAAATATATTTTAAAAATCCACGTTTGACTGTTGGTCCTTGAAAAAGATTCTTTAAAAAATCTACGTTTGACTGTTGGTCCTTGAAAAAATATTCTTTAAAAATCCACGTTTGACTGTTGGTCCTTGACAAAATATTCTTTAAAAAATCTACGTTTGACTGTTGGTCCTTGAAAAAATATTCTTTAAAAATCCACGTTTGACTGTTGGTCCTTGACAAAATATTCTTTAAAAAATCCACGTTTGACTGTTGGTCCTTGGAAAAATATTCTTTAAAAAATCCACGTTTGACTGTTGGTCCTTGAAAAAATATATTTTAAAAATCCACGTTTGACTGTTGGTCCTTGAAAAAGATTCTTTAAAAATCTACGTTTGACTGTTGGTCCTTGAAAAAATATTCTTTAAAAATCCACGTTTGACTGTTGGTCCTTGACAAAATATTCTTTAAAAAATCTACGTTTGACTGTTGGTCCTTGAAAAAATATTCTTTAAAAATCCACGTTTGACTGTTGGTCCTTGACAAAATATTCTTTAAAAAATCTACGTTTGACTGTTGGTCCTTGAAAAAATATTCTTTAAAAAATCCACGTTTGACTGTTGGTCCTTGACAAAATATTCTTTAAAAAATCCACGTTTGACTGTTGGTCCTTGGAAAAATATTCTTTAAAAAATCCACGTTTGACTGTTGGTCCTTGAAAAAATATTCTTTAAAAAATCCACGTTTGACTGTTGGTCCTTGACAAAATATTCTTTAAAAAATCCACGTTTGACTGTTGGTCCTTGAAAAAATATTCTTTAAAAAATCCACGTTTGACTGTTGGTCCTTAAAAAATATTTTTTAAAGAATCCACGTCTGTTGGTCCTTCAAAAAATATTTTTTAAAAAAATCCACGATTTGTTGGTCCTTGATATTGGTCCTTAATATTGGACGTATCCTTTTCACCCAAAGCCTATATTTTGAGATGAATATATCGAGATTATTGTTAAGTATGTACGTTTAATTATATTCCATATAAGAAGGACACCGGAAATACATTTAAGTTACCTTTTTAGCATAACAAAACCTCCAAGGGGGATAGTGGGGGGAAATCTCTTCATTTCATGATTTATTTCAATATAAAACTAACACCAGACAACGTTGGCATAAATCTTTCACAAAAAAACGGAGTGAATGAATGACAGAAAATAAATAACAGCAATAATTGAATACAAAGATTTATTTTCATAAGGATGTGTGACAAACAGCCACATCACTTCCGTTCTAGCGTCTCTATCATCTTCATTTCCTTGATTATTATTCCTTATCTTTTATGCGTCGAACAATAACACAAATACCGTCTTTTGTAATTCTCTTTACATTTTCTCCATTTTCCTTTGCAGACAGCCTTTATGAACTGGACAGTGGCCACGGAGAGTCATGTCGATTCATCATTTTTCTGGGGCTATTTGATAACCCAAATACCGGGTGGTTTTATCGCATCGAAATTTCCCGCAAACAAAATCTTCGGCTTGTCGATTGCCAGTTCGGCAACATTGCATTTATTTGTGCCATTCGCCATGACTTTGATGCACGGACATGTGGTGATATGTGTGCGTATCCTGCAGGGCTTGTTTGAGGTAAGTAATGTGATATGTGTGTGGGTTTTGGGTTGTTTGGAAGAGGGGGTGGATGGATTATTTTTGTGTTTAGATTTCGTTATTTCATTTCAACTAAGCAGATCAAAGCTAGTGATTTTTTTACACAAAAGGTTTCCAAATATTTGTTTCGTTTTTTTTCCTTTTCATTCCATTTTTGATGAAAATGATTTCGATTTAAAGTAAATCACCACAATATTATTTTGTTAAGCCCTGGCAGACATATGTGGGAAGATTTTCGAAAGCTTATTTTCTTATATTTTGTTATTTTTCGGTGTAATCCGTCATAACAAAACATTGTCGGATTTAATAAGCTTATATTTTGTCAATCTTATTTTTTTTTGCTGTTGTTGTCATCATTTTAGGGTGTCACCTATCCCGCCTGCCATGGTATTTGGCGTTTTTGGGCTCCACCCATGGAACGTTCTCGTCTAGCCACACTGGCTTTCAGTGGTTCCTATGCCGGTGTTGTCGTTGGCCTGCCTTTATCCGGCCTGCTGGCGGACACGTTGGGTTATCAGGCACCATTCTATGCCTATGGAGTATTCGGAATTATATGGTAAGTATTGTATTGATTGGAAAATATCGTTTATGTCAGAAACCGGAAATATTTTATTAGAATTACGCGAGCTTATACGTAAGATGGGAGAAGAAAGAGCTCTGTTAGTTCAAATCTCTCAAAAAAAACTCCAGGAATTTTTTTGTCGAAGGGAAAAAATAAATGGTAAAAACACAAATAAATGGTAAAAACTCATGAAAAATTCGTTCTTTTTTCTAGTTTTGGAAAAATAAAGAAAATTTGACTTTTCCTTATTTTCAAAATTTATTCCATAGCGCGAAAACTAAAAGGATTGTGCTCTGAAAATCCATAAAGGAGTCCTTTCGAGATTTTTATTTATTTTTTATTTCCCCTCCACACTCATGGACTGTGTTTAGATTGAAGACTGATATATATGATGAAGGCGTTAATAGAACTCCTCTAGATGACATACATTTCCGGAAGTATTAGTTAAACTGTTTCGGTCACTCTAATCGTTAAAAATGAGATTTTTGAGATCTTTGGGATGTTTCATTAAATTTTGTGGGGGATGTGACTGATATTGCCTGGTCTTAAATGCAACATTTTACATTTTGGTAATAATTTTACGATGTACCAAGTTCGAACCGAATCGGATACTCCTTTCTAAAATTACACTGTTCTCAGAAATACTCGTACGAACATTGCTAGATTGACTCCAAATATCCTGAAATGGATTCCAACCAAAGAAACCTAGGGTCTACAACCGCTATTCCGATGAAGCACATTTTGGATGTATCATTTACAATAGCCGGAATTTGTGCGTGCCTCATATCTCTTGAATGTTAAGTCAGTTCGGAAAAATTAACTTTTAAACACCTTGATAAAAGACCGCAGATATGTCAACTTCAAGAGAAATAAAGACATATTTCAAAGAAGCCCCAACTGGGGGTCTCCTTATTTCGAAGACTTCAAAAAAATAAATATTCCCTAAAAAATATGTGAATTCAAGGATGACTACATTTTTACGGAGGTTTTTAACTACAGAAAATCCAAAAACGAGACCTTCTTTTAAAGAATACCTTAGTAGAGATCTATTCAAAACTTTAAAAGGGTTCTTCTTCTACAAATGACTTTAACAGATCCCCACTTTCAAAAATACTTTAACAGCGACAAGGCAGTGGTGTTTTTCTACTTCTGTATATAAGACATTCTCTGGAGCGATTTTTCTATAGAGGTCCGTCCCATATAGACAATTTTCAAAGCGGTCTTTTCCTATAAAGAACCTTGAAAGAGAGGTTTTTTCATAGAAACCCTGAAAAAGTATACTTCCCATTGAGCGCATATAAGAGGTGTTGTTCTGTAGAAAACTTTAAATCAAATCTCCTTTAGAAAATCGGAAAATCCAAGTCGGCTTTTTTTGAAAGACGTCACAGGAGATCAAATTATTTGTTTTCTTTACAAGACCTCAACAAATTTATTGCCCTTGAAACACTTGAAAGAGTCTTTCCTCTTTAGAAGACTTCGCCTCCTTTTTTAAAATACCTTAAAGAAGAATTTCCGCTACATAACAATGAAAAGAGTCATTTTCTTATAGAAAACTTTAAAACATGTCTTCGTCGTTAGAAATCCTTTAGTGATTTTTAGAAGTCTTGCAAAGACTTGCAAAGTTCGGCCGGGTCGAACTTTTAATAATAAAACACGATAAAATATCGAATATCGGGAGGTATCGTCATATGGGGACTATACGAAGACGTAGACCTGTATACGAAATTTTTTTCCATGGGTCGTAGTGCCCATTAAGATCTTCCAGTACGAAATTTGAAACGATTCCGGTGAATAATGTTGCTGAAATCATCAAAACAACGACTATCGTTATATGGGTGATATACGAAGACGCGAACCTGCAACGATTTTTTTGCCACAAGTTGTAGTACCCATTAAGATCTTCCAATACGAAATTTGAAACGATTCCGGATTGCGAGTCTAAAATACCAAATTTGAAACAATTTCGTGGGAAAATGTGACTAGGATTGACAAAATACCGAATATCGATGGGTACCGTTATATGAGGGCTATACCAAAACGTGGACCTAAATGGCCCATTTTAAATACCAAATGTGCTGCAAATTTGAGTAAAATTTTATCAACCTACTTCATTTCGTTCGGAAGCTAGAGTGATTTCCAAAGACGGGCGGAAATCGCTAAATCGACATCGAATTTTATGCTTATCAAGATTGTATGTACTTTGTGGGGTCTAAAATATATATTTCGAGGTGTTACAAATGGAATGACAAACTTAATACACCCTCCATACTATGGTAGAGGGTATAAAAAAATATTTTACTACAGAAAAAATTTAAATAAATTTTCTCAATAGAATACTTCACAGAACTCCCTTCTGATTAAAGAAATCATAAATTAAAAAAAATATGGAATAGCTTAAAATAGGTCTTCATCTATAGAAGACCTCAAAAAATACATTTATTTATACAAAAACCTCAAACCTCTTTATATATAAATAACCCGAAGACCTTTATCGGACATAAATAAGGCCAGGCAAAAATATCTTCGAGAGCCTTTGAAGGTATTTACGGTATTTCAATATCATTCCTTCAATAGAAGACCTCAGAAGTGACTTCTCTTCAATAGAAAACTACAAAACATATACTTTTGCAACAGAAGTTCTCCTTTCAACAAAATACCTCAAATGGGCATGCTTTCAAGGGAAGACCATAACATTACGGCCTTCAAATGGCATATTTTGGTACACTTCCAAGTAAAGGCCTTTTAAAATATATCTCAAAGTAAAGGCTTTTTGCTATAGAATGTCTAAAAAGAAGGAATTTCTTCAGAACAAAAGTCCAAAGAGAAAGTCATGGGAAAACATCTTCTGCAATGCTAGACTTCAAAAGGGTAATTCTGCCCCTCAAAAAAAGGTATTTTCTTAAAGAAGACATTAAGGAGGCGTTCTACAGATGTTGTTTAGAGACATCAAAATTTAAAATTCGTATTTTTTTATATGAGCTTCCAGGTGGGGCTTCTTGTGTGATTTCGTCAAGATTTCAAATAGGGGCTTCCCTATAAGACCCCATAAGATACCTTATTTATATATTATATTCGCGATAAAAATTTTAAGAAATTATTTTAACAAATTAAACTAAAGAATTAACTAAAAAAAAATAAATAATATATCCCTGTTTTTCTTCCCTTCCCCCCACCAGGTACATGTTCTGGCTTTGGCTGTGTTTTGAGAATCCACGCAAACATCCTGCCATCAGTATACCCGAATTGAAATATATTGAAAAGTCGCTGGGCGAGACATCAGCACATCCAACAATGCCGAATTTGAAAACAACACCATGGCGTGAAATGGCCCGATCAATGCCCGTCTATGCCATTATTGTGGCGAACTTTTGTCGTTCGTGGAATTTCTATTTGCTGGTCCTGTTTCAGTCTTCCTTCCTAAAGCATAAATTCCATTTCAAAATTGAGGAAGCTGGTTTTGTGGGGTCACTGCCACATTTGATTATGACCACCATTGTACCGTTCGGTGGCATGTTGGCTGATCATTTGCGGAAAAATGGCATTATGTCGACAACAAATGTGAGAAAGCTGTTCAATTGTGGTGGCTTCGGTATGGAGGGTATATTCTTTTTGTTCGTGGCACATTCGGATACGGCGGTAAGTTGGGGGGCTGGGGGGATATTTTTATTTGGTTCTTTTTTTATTTTGTTTTGATTTTTTTTTCAGACTGGTGCCATGTTTGCATTGACCTGTGGTGTGGCCTTTTCCGGCTTTGCCATCTCTGGCTATAATGTCAATCATTTGGATATTGCCCCCCGCTATGCCAGTATTTTGATGGGTCTGTCAAATGGCATTGGTACCTTGGCGGGAATTATTGTACCCTATGCTTTGGATGGTCTAATACAGGAGAATGTAAGTGAGGAGGGGATGGGTTTTTTTTGAAAATCAAATTTGAAATTGGAAAATTTGTTATTTTAGCCTGAGGGATGTTGGACCACTGTTTTTACCCTGGCCGCTTGTGTTCATTTAGTAGGTTGCACTTTCTATGCCATCTTTGCCTCGGGCGAATTGCAACCCTGGGCTGAACCTCCACCAGAAGAGGAGCAGAAGGTGTGGGCCCCTCCCATGGGAGCCATTACGGAAGATCCTTCACAGGGTGGTGCAGTTGGTGGTTACATGAAGGAGACCTCATTTGTAAGTTTTGAAAATAAAGGGCATTTTTTCTTCAGAAATATTCTAAATGTATTTTCCCCTGCAGGGTGAGGCACCACCACCATATACGGAACAAAGTCAAATGCAACAATCGAATACCGTTAATTATGGGGCGACAGGACACGTGGCCAACAATCCATTTGCCATGGCTGGTGCCACAATTGCCGAGGAGAGCATGCAACCTGATGTGGCCGGCGGTATGGCAACGGGTAGTTCATATGCCACATATGACTACACGGCTGGCCAGGGGACAGCCACCGCCCCCGCCATGGGGCAATTACCCCAAATGCCATCATATGAACAACAATATCCTCAATATCAGACACAATAAAAAAGAGACCTCCCAACTTCAACTACTCCCACATCACAGACAGCAGGACTAACATAAAAAACTAAACAAATTATATCAGGTAAGAGATAGCCGCCAAAAAAAGGGGTGATAGATCACACAACAACATTTAATGGATAATAAGACAAAAATATAACAGCAACAACAAGAACAATAACATTAACATTAAAAACCCTCACACACATATATATTTAAAAAGCAATCAATATTTCAAATATAATTAACAAATAATGAAAATAACAACAAAACCCAACTGCTAATCCAAACAAACAAACAAGTAGTAACGAAACCAAAGTACGAAACATTTAAACAAATTTAAACTAAATCAAATATACAAACAAAAACAAGAACAACAACAATGCCCAAAAAAAAAACAAAAACAGAAACATAAATCGTTAAAATATCATTAATTATTAAAAAAAAAAAACTAAACTAAATTTCTGCATAGATAAAATTTATTTACAATTAATTGTTAAAAGCCAAACAAAAAAAATTAAGAAACAAAAAAGATGGAGAGCATAAAAGAATTATTTACAATTATTATTATTAAAATGGTGTTATTTTATATCCAAACAAAAGGCAATGAAAGAAGGACAATTTGAAATCTTGTATGTGTTTTCAACTCCGACCTCTATTTTACCTATCTAAGACAAGAGGTCAAGGAGCAAAAAAATTATTAAAAAATTTAAAAAAAATGTTCTCTAAGAATACCAGAATCTGGAAGGAAGCCAGGAAAGAAAGCTGGAACATTTTTTTGAAAAATCTGTGGCAGCAAAAATCTAAGGAGTATAGAAAATATCGTAAAAAATATCCACGTTTTGAGAGTCCATAGGGGGAGGGAAATTTTGGTAAAAGAAAAAAGATATTATTATTAATTTTTTTAAGTCCAGGTTGTGTGATGGTAGAAAATTTTCTTTTAACCCAAGTTTTAACAGATCAAATTATTTTTGTAATATACGTTAAATAACTCTACGTTTTGTTATCCAAAGAGGAGGGTCGAAAATCTCTTAAAACCCCACGTTATGTGATCCCAAAAGAATGATAGACAACTTTATATAAAAATCCGAATTACGGTAGATTATTTCTTTAAAAATTCCATGTTTTGTAATTCCAAGAGAAAGCTCGAAAATTTCTTTAAAAATTCTAAGTCTAAGTTCGAAAGGTCGTTTTCTTACACGTTTAATATTTCAAATGGCTGAAGATAATATCTTAACAAACTCCATATTTTTTGGTGATCACAAGTGAAAGTTCGAAATTTTATTTAAAAAATCCAAGGTTTAGAAGCTGGTAGACTTTTTTTTTAAATTCCACATTTTTTGATCGAAAATTTATTTTAAAAAAATGTCCTCCAAAATCTAAGAATTCAAGTTCGGGAGGTAAATTTCTTTTTAAAAAATAAACGTTTAGGAGTTCAAATGACGATAGATAATTGCTGTAAAAACTCAACTTTTTGTGATAATAGGAGGAGGGGCAATTTTTTAAATTCAAGTTATAATAGCTTAATGCGTAGTGGGTCGATATTATTTTAAAAATTTCAAGTTTTAACTATTTTTAATGGATAGTTGATTTGTTTTTGGAAAATCCACGTTTTGATATTCCAAAACTTTTCTTTCTTTCAAAAATCCACTTTTTGGTATTGCAAAAGAAGAGTTAAAAATTTCTTTGTTAAATCCACGTTTTAGTATTTCAAAAGGAAAGTTGAAAATATCTTTTGAAAAATCCACGTTCAGGGATTCCAAATGAATAGCTGATTTGTTTTTGAAAAATCCACGTTTTGGTATTCCAAAAGTAGAATCGAAAATTTCTTTCAAAAATTCACATTTTGGGGTTCCAAAAGTAGAGTTGAAAATTTCCTTCAAAAATCCACGTTTTGGTATTTCAAAAGGTGTGTTGAAAGTTTCTTTAAAAATTCACGTTTTGGGAATTCCATAGAGAGATATCAAAATTTCTTTCAAAAATCCAGGAAAGTTCATTTTTTTCAAAAATCCACACTTAAGGAGCCCAAAAGATTGTTGAAATAATTTTAAAAAAATATATGCTCAATGGATGATAGACTTTTAATTAAAAAAGTACATCTTAGAGGCTAAATAGTTGATTTGATTTACAAAACTTGTTTTAAAAACTTAGAAATTTCTTCAAAAAACACGTCTTAGGAGCTTGGAAATGTTCTTTAAAATTCTTCAATTTAGGAGCTCAAGAAAACTCCATGTCTTAGGAACTCAAAGCATGTTAGAACATTTCTTTCAGAGACTCGATGGATGGTAGGAACTTTCTTAAGAAACACTTTCTAAGTCCAAGTTTTAGAGCCTCAATGGTTGCTAAAACATTTCTATTAAAAAATCCACGTTTTAGAGGTTCAACGAAAGGTAGAAATTGACCCTTAAAATTCTTAAGAGCTGTGAATATCCAATTCAGGACCTCTAGAAAACTCCACATTTTAGAAACTCATAGAATGTTAGAAAATTTCTTTAATAATCCATGTTTAAGAGACTCGATGACAGGTAGGAAATTTCCTAAAATAGCACGTTTTATAGACAAGATTTAGGAGGTTTAATGGATGGTAGAATATTTAAAAAATCGATGTTTTGGATGCTCAGTGAAAGGTAGAAATTGACCCTTAACAACATGATTTAAATGCCTCAAAAATTGTCTTTTAAAAATCCACGTTAAAGAAGTCCTCTGGAAGACAATATCTTTGAAATCTATGTTTCAAGAGCTCAGAAAATATTTTTAAAATGCAAGTTTAAAGACCTCAGAAAATCTTCTAAAAATAATATCCACGTTAAAAAAGTTTTATAGAGCTCCGAAAATGTTTTTAAAACCACATTAAGGAGCTCCAAAGATGTATTTAAAATCCACGTTTAAAGAACTTAGAAAATTGTTAAATTCCACGTTTAAAGAGCTCCAAAGATGTCTTTAAAATCCACGTTTAAAGAACTTAGAAAATCGTTAAATTCCACGTTTAAAGAGCTCAGAAAATCTTTAAAAAATCCACGTTAAAGGAGCCACATAAATGTCGGAAAATGTCTTTAATAATCCTCGTTTTGGGAGCACTGAACATTCCTTAAAAACAACGTGTTAGAGCTCATAATATATTTTTTTTTAATTACCAATTCATGACCTTAGTGGAGGATAGAAACACTATCTTGAAAGTCCACATCATAGATAATCAAATGATGGTAGAAAAAACTCCACGTATTAACTGTCCAAAGAATGCTAGAAAAAAAAATTCAAAAGATTCACAAACTCTAGGATGGTTGGAAATTTCTTTAAAAAATTTAGGAGTTTAGAAACTTTTATACAAATCCACAATTAAAGTGCTCAAATAAGGCTACTAAAATCATTATAAAATCCAGAATTGAGAAATTTTGAAAAAATGCGATTGAAGTCCAGAAGGTGGGTTGAACTTATCTTTAAACCCCCACGAAAAAAGGATAGAAAAATCATCTAAAATTGCATTAAATTTCAGACTTGAAAGGTTCTTGAAAACTCCTCGTTTTTAAAGGTCAAAAAAAGGCCAAAAAATATATTTAATAAATCCAAGATTAAGAACTTTATAGACACTACGAGATTTCGTATAAATATTCAAGATTAAGCGACTGGAACATTTCATCAACAAATCCACATAAGAAGTGGTCACATAAGATTTCTTAAAACTTTTTAAATCCTTCATCGAAAAGCTCAAAAATTGAAATTCAGCTCGTCTAAAAAATCCAGAGGTCACAAAAACTCTTTAAAAATTCGAGATTGAGAAACTTAAAAGAAACTAGAAAAATTCTTTTAAAAAGAAGCAAAACGAGACTAGAAAGTTTCTTAAAAATCACCTGCTGTAAAACTCGAAGGATGTAGAATAATTATATAAAAATTTAAAAGGATTTAAATATTATTTAAAATGTCAGGAAATGTTAGAAAATGCTTTAAATCCAATGGAATCCTGGTAACTTCTTTAAAAAAGTCACAGTTTGAGATTGTTCGAACACCCGATATTGAAGCTCAATACAGGCTCAAAAGGATTTGAATATTAATTATCGGGAGAGTTGATTTTTTTTTAAATACTCATTAAATATGTCCAAACCAAATCTGTAAAAGCTACATTAAAAGGTATTAAAACTAGCTCAAAAAATAACCTTGTTAAAAGTATTCCATTTTCTGAATGCGATTGAAGAGATTACTTGGAATGCAATAGTTGAGATTTTGTGGGCTATGTTTTCATAGGTGTTATTTAGTAGTGAATGTGAATCGTAAACAAACTTACCTCTTTCATCACCACTGCTTCCATATTCTCAAAACACGGTTTTTGGGCAAATATTATTATTGAAATTCAAATGGTAAAATACTCTTTATTTATTAACTTCACTTTTCCTACGAAGTAACGATTATTTATGTTATTTTATTATGTGCAAAAAAACAAAAGATAATGTTGCACACACTGATTAATGCTAGCACAAATACAACAAATGGCAACACAAAAGAGATCACTTTTTATCAACACAATACCAATTTACCGGCAATAGAACAAGAACAACACGACTCTTTCTACATCTCTCTTTTTCCCTTCTCAACACACGCACTCACGGCAATCATAGACAAAGGAAAGGAATAACACTTTAGAAGGCCACACAATAAAACTGATTTATTTTTATGAATTACAACCGAAACACTTTTCTTTTTACATTTATACGAATTGCATTTCCATAATTTACCCGTTTCATACATAATTTCTTCGTAAATACTTTATTTAATTTAAATAATTCACTAATAACGAGCACAATATACAACCGACGACCGCCTTTTTTAATCGATTAGTTGACAACTGAAGGAAGATGTACATGGGAGAAACAGTGATGCCAATTTACGGTTCAGAAGAAACCGCATTGTAATTATTATTTGCAAATATAAATTTTAAATCAGATATTTTCATAACTTTGAAAGTAATAATTTGAATAAAAGCAATTTAATGAAAAATATGAATATAAATTAATAGGCATTATTTAAAATTAAAATTAGTCATTTATTTGACATAGACTCAAATGAATTGACATTATAAATAACGCGTTTTAAGAAAATATGTAAATTTCCCAGAATATGAAGTTGGTAAAGAATTATTACCCTATCCATTCATACTGTAATGGGATTATCCAACACTTTTTTGCCCTTTCCGAATTTAGTACCCAAAAAAAGAGAAATATGAGTCATGTATAAGTCATTACATGCGTAATATGCGCGTCATAAAAATGATATTGATGACTCTTACAAAGTTTTTTTTTTGAAAATCCACGTTGGATCCGAAAAGGAGAGTAGGGGTTTTTCTTTAAAATCAATATTTGGGAAGTTAATGTCTTTTTTAAAAATCCACGTTTTGGAGTTTTTTACAAACGCCACGTTGTGTGAACCTAAGATTGGGTTCGAATTTCTTTAAAACAATCAAGTTGTAGGAGCTAAACGGATAGGGGATTGAGCGGTGGAAAATTAATGGATGGTGTATTTTTCTTAATCCACGTTTTGAGTTCTCGAAGAAGAAGCTTAAAATGGAAGCCTAAATTTCTTTAACAATACTTGTTTTAGAAGTCCACATATCAGATACAGCTTACAAATAGGTGTTTAAAATTTTGCCAAGATCGG